GTTGGATGGGTCGGGAGTTCTGGGGGTCCTGTCAGGGGGCGGGGAGCAGTTGGCTAGAGCATGGGAGTCCCGGGGTTCTGTCTGGGGGCGAGGGTGTGAATATGGGGTGGGGGTGTGGATAAGGGTTGGGGCAGTCAGGGGACAGGTAGGGTCCTAGGGGGGCAGTTAGGGTGGGGGGTTCTCAGGAGGGGGCAGTCAAGGGACAAGAAGCAGGGCAGCTTAGATAGGGGGTGGGATCCTAGGGGGCAGTTAGTGGCAGGGGTCCCAGGAGGGGGCAGTCAGGGAACAAGGAGTGGGAGGGGTTGGGTGTTCTGAGGGGGGCAGTCAGGGTGGGAAGTGGGAGGGAGTGGATGGGGGTGGGGCTAGAGTGGGGCCCCTCCCCCCGTGTCCTCTTTTTTGCTTGTGGAAATGTGGTAACCCTACATTCCGGTGCCACTCGGCCCTGCTACAGCACAGGGCAAAGGTGTTAAATATTGTGGGCTACTCTTTTAAACCCCTTTTACACATGTTTCCCTCCAGCCACTGCCCTGCCTACACTGTGCAGGTCTGCACCCCCGCTGGGAAGTGAATCTGCTCTCATGTCAACTTTACACGGACTCCAGCACAGCTGCTCCTCCTTCACCCCAGGAGAGAGCAGGCAGCCGGGTCCCAGGCCCCAGGGCACTCTGCAAAAGCCCAGATGGTTTGGCTGATTGGGGGTGGAGGGTACCTCTGACCCTTGGCAGCTTTTGGAGGGTTTGGGGCTTGTCAGTACCTGATCCAAACAGTCCAGGTCTCTTGTCCTACACACCAGGATGGACATCTCCTGGGAGCAGCCTTCCTTGGGTCATTTGGGATCCTCCAGCACTGGTACAGCAAGGCAGCTGTGGGCCTGGAAGGAGGAGGAGATGTGGGACTTCTCCAAACCTTATGGTGCAGAGCTGGAGTGACGATTCAGAAGAGTGGTTCCTAATGTCGGTTGAACCAGCTCCCCTGCCCCTGCTGGTTAGGGTGTAAGATGTTAGCGAGCATCTGTGACCAGTGCTAACTAGGGTCCTGAGCCAAGACAACATTTCAGCACGTGCTTTGGTCCCAGTGACTGAATCAGGATGTTTTCCTGTGGGCCAAGGAGAGGCAGCAAGGTAGAGTGTACTGAGCACCACTCTGGGAGTGAGGCACTCCCAAGTTCTAGGTCCCATTCTGCCACTGAGTGCCTGTATGACTTGGGCAAGTCCCTTGTCTCTCTAGGCCACTTTCTAAGGAGTGTAATGGGCAGTGCCAGCTGTATGTCAGTAATCAGGTGTCAGGGAAGTTTATGGTGAGGGGATGGAAGAGCAGGTTTATATTAGGGAAGACAACCAGCAGGAAGGTATAACAAGGTCTTAGCTAAAAGAAAGGGACTCGACTTTACTTTACCCATCCCTGGCTCCTTTTCCTGCTACAGCCTTCCTCTTCTTCCCTATAGGCCTGCTCCATACACAGGTTTGGCACTAGTATAACTTTGTCAGGTAGGGGTGTGACTTTTTACCGAATTGCTCACACTGGTACAACCTTTGGTACGCACTCAGATATATCGGTATAAAGAGACTGTATGATGTTATAGCTTATTCCTCCTCCTGTGGTGCCCATACTAGGGGCTGTATCACTTTAACTAGGCCAGTGTGGGTAAAGCACTACAGCTTGTGTATACATGCAAGCCTGAGTGCGTGGGATGCACTCATTCAACCCGGGTGTGTAATTTATCCACCATCTGCCTCACCTCTGAATTGTCTCTGGCTAATGCAGTCTAATTACTCCCTCCCAGGAGGTGAGGAAGATGAATTATTGTTTGTCTCTGACCGCGTGAAATGTTGTGCTAGGGCTGATTACACACAGGCTATCTTCTGTTATTATTAACTGCAGTAAAAAGTGTGTGTAAAAGGATGTAATGGAAAAAGGGAAACCACTGAGAGGGAAAGAGAAGAGCCTGATTATATATAGGCGGTTGGGATCTGGGGCTCACTGTTTCCCTAATTGCTTTGGGTTCCAGTAATGGAGGGACAGCTGAGATCTTCACAGTGTTTGCCAAGACCCCGGTAAAGGAGCCAACAGGGGAAGTGAAGGACAAAATCTCAGCCTTCATTGTGGAGAGAGCATTTGGGGGAGTGACCAGGTAAGAAAGTTTATAACTTAACAGGCACGGTTTGAGGAGATATTACAAGGACTGGGACTGTTCAGTTTAGAAAAGAGACTCAGGGGGATATGATAAAGGTCTATAAAATCATGACTGGTGTGGAGATAGTGAATAGGAAAGTGTTACCCCTTCACATCACACAAAAACCAGGAGTCACCTGTAGCCTGATTTGGGGCGTGTTGTTAATGTTGATTTCATTTATCCATTTAATTTCATTTAATTAATTTTAATAATGATTATTATGGATATTAATTAGTATGGGTTTAGACTCGCCAATTTGTTTGATCAGAAGATAAAATTCATCCTGAATCAGGCTTCACAGAGTTTATAAAAGGACCTTCGGGGGTATGACAGGAAGCTCACTCTGAGACAGATGTAGTCAGAAAGACCTTTTATTAAAATCAATGAAATAGCAAATGGTAAAACAGTTAGAATTAGAGTTGCAATTGTATGACTGTTATTCCAGTGATACATATGGTAATACAATATTATCTGCTGCAGACTTTGGTTAATACTCACACTCTGTTTTAATAACCTGGTGTTATTAAACCTCTGGCGGTTCTGGCTTCACACCTCTAGCAGGAGAAACTGATGCAGAGCTGTTAAAGCTGTTTACTCTCTAACTTAACTTAATAAACCTTAAACTGAAATAAAGCGTAGGGAAACCAAGCTTAGCCTAGTCTCCTTAAAACTTAAAGTTTGAAAAGAAACAAAGTACAGCATGTTAATAGCCGTCATAGATGGGGAGCATCGATACGTTGTTGAAGATGGAGACAATGAAGAGTAGATTGCCTCCAAAATGGCGAGATGAATCACCT